CGCCCTCCCCCCCCCGCCGCCCCGCCGGTGCCGGCAGCCGTGGGGGTGGGCTATGGGTGCAGGTAGGGGCTCACCCCTGCGGTGCCGGCGCCGGGCTCTGCCCTGCCCAAAACCAAAGTTCGCGTGAACACCAGGGCGGCAGCTCTGCCTGGAGCTGGCACGGCTTTCCTAGGAGTTACGGTCCCTTTCCCGGTGGTTCCGTTCCCCTTTCAGGCCGCTGAGGTGCAGTGGGCTGCGCAGCGCTCGTCGTGCAGGTGGCTCGGTTCGATAAGGTGTCTCCTCACAGACAGCTTTTTCCTGGTGGCTCTGCATTGCTGGTCAGAGTGGCAGCCAAGGCACGCTTGCTGTTCCGTGGGTGCTGGTGGCCGTTTGATCCAAAGGGGCAGGTGAGCTCCAACAGAAGCGGTTTCCTGCACAGACGAACTTTGCCGGTGGCTTGGAAGGCTCCCCTGTGCCTGACAATAATGCTGTCAAACGCAGCTTGCCGTCTCCCCACAGCTCTGTTACTCCCCTGAACTGCAGCAGCTTAAGCACCAAATGCGCTTTAGGAACTGCTCAAGACTCTGAACTCACTCATACAGCAAGTGTAACAAGAAGACCTGGCAGTTCAGCATACTGCACGCACTGTGTACCCTTTGGTGTACCCTTGGGGTGGGAACCATCTCCTACTCTCCTGCCTGGTGCCTACCGTTGTGGCTCTGAGGCATTGTTATACCAAGAATGAAAAGGCAGAATGCTAGGAGATTAATTCTTGCTTTTTCAGAACAGTTTTTGAGACAGGGAAAACTCTGCTGGAAATTATTCAGAGCAGCTTTTTTCCCCTCTTATTTTTCTCCCTCCTGTGCGGCAAAGCCAGTAGAGTTATTGGTCTGACTGCCATCTTCTGCAATACAGGCATTTTCATATACTGCATTACCGTTCCTCCTGATGCACTAGTTCCAGTATTAAAGACTACAGTGATAACAAATAGCTTAATTTGCATTAGTGAGGAAGCTCACAACCTGCAATGTGTTCAGTATTTGTCGTACATTCAACGTAACACAATGATTGCTTTGTACCTTGTGGAACAAAAATACACTGAGAAGCTGTAAAGAATTATTTCCTGTAGTGTGCTGACAGACCAGCTGCTGGCAGAAAATTGATGCAAGATATAATCTTTTAAACAGGATTTTTATCCTATCTTCAGGCACTTTAAATATGCCCATTCTCACAGCATTAAGATACCACGTATTTCAGGACGTAACCCTGACAGTGTCGCTAAGGATAAAACCAATTAGTCTCTCATAAATTTCTGCAGATATGTTCACTGCAGTATTTATTTCCAGTTCTTCCTTTTGAAAGTAATTGTGTCACACAGAGAATTAAACTTTCTTTTCTTATTTATGCGCTGAGTGATCTAATGGAAACGCCCCTTTCTGCGCATCATTACTGGAGAGAAAGAATTTGCCTTGTACAAATTTGTTACATAGAAAAAAAATTGCAGCCAGAGAAATGGCTGTTTAGCAACTGTACCTTGTTATACTGCTACAGCTGGTCAATGCCAGCAGTGTAGGGGTGAGCGTGTTTTGTCTTGTGTCAAGGGGAATTGGTTTATGCACTAGCCAGTTTCTCAGTATGCTGCACAGACTACAAAAGATGGAGAAAAAGTAATATGCAGTCCTGAAAGCCAGTTTCTGGAGTTGATTACTGATAGCTTCAAGATCCAACTCAAAGAGGACAAATTTCCTCCTTCATGAGAGTTGTTTATTACAATTATGTGTCGTCCCGTCCCCCCCCTCCCAAAAAAAAAGGACCTACATTTTAAGAAAAGACTTCCCAAAAGGCTAAATCATCTTGGAGCAAAACCTTCCAAGTCTGAAAAGTTAACGGAGTTCTGAATTGACTCAGAATGGTTTTGGGGTTTGGGGGCTTGGGAGTTTCACTTAGACCTTCTTAAATAAATCTGGTTCCATTAGCTCTGAACTATTATTATCTTACCTGGTTGAACCCAAAGTTCTCACCCGAGAACTGGAAATAGCATGTTAAGTCTCTCCTTGTGCCCTTAAGCTCCACAGAGACCCAAGTAGCCTGCAAAAGTCTTTGTGTTAGGGCTGGGGCCCCAGAAGAGCACCTGGTGCAAGTGCTTGGTTGCTGTGCAAGAAGCTGGTGTGGGTGATGCCATGAGAAGCTAGAGAGAAAGCAGATGGCCGGAGCCGTTGGTAGCACCTGGTTAGTACCAGCATAGCACTGTCGTGGCAGGCAGGAAAGGATGTATGCGTGGTGGGGAAAAGGAACCAGAGAGGTGATCAGCCCAGAAGGGGGGAACAACTGATTGTTAAAACACCACGGTGCAGCCACCATTCTCCCTGTGGCGAGAAGCTAAGGTGGAAAAAGCCCCATTCCACAGGTATCCATCAGGCAGCCTGGCGCTTTTAGTATCCCACTGCACTCCTGTGAGACACATACCTGGTCTGTCCAGCACTGGAATACTTTCAGCAAAGTGATGTTATCAGCTATTTCTTTGCTGTCTCAGGGTACAGAAAAATCCCATCATATCTGATAACCGACCAGACCTGAAAACAATTACAGTAAGCCTACTGTCTGGGCATGCTGTCATTTACATTTTGGAGCAAACCTTACTTGCTCCAATTTTTTCACCAGTGATAACTCTTTTACTTGGTGGTAAAATAGATTTGAACCAGTATTAGTCATTGATGTGTGAACAGTGCTGCCACTGGGAGGGACAGGAATGCAGGCTAATAATGGACCGTTCAAAGGCAGTCTGCCTGCTCCAATGAAGGATGAATAATGCACTCTAACGCCAGCAGACAAAAATTTCAGAGATGTGATTCTGATTAGGGTTTTCCTATCTTTGAATAATAGCAAAGTCTCAATCTAATCTAGTTCATTTGTTTCAGCAAGACTGATAAATTTTAACAACTGATAACATAAACACTGTTTCTTTGCCTGGCTCATTGCCTGTAAATCTCTGTTGTTTCAAGTTGCTCCCCAATGTATGCTTTCCCATTGTAAAAGCAACATCAACTAGATGCATTACACTGCTTTGACTCCTCCTTGGTAGGAACTTAAGATGTGCAAGAAACATCTCTAAAGAAGAGGAGCTCTGCGACCTAGTGGAGTCAGAAGGACTGCACTCACTTTGGGTCAGCTTCAG